TGGGAACCAAGCCTTGGTGACCCTAAGAACAAGGACTAGGAATGGCAGGAAAAGTTCATCCCCTTAAGAGACCTGATCCCTGCCTGTCCTTACACCACTGATATTTATTTCTGGCTTGGCCATTTGTGCTCCTTCACTCATGCTAATTTTGGGCACAGCATCTTCTCCCCTGGGCTTAGGTCCTAAGTGCCAAGGCTTCCCTCTGTCGGATGCCACAATCAGTCACGCTGAATGCCTGTCACCCACGCATGAGTGCTTTGTTATGGTTCTCATTTGTACAAAACCAAAGAGGAAAGCTTTCATCAAGCCCTCTTGGTGCCAAAACATCTTTACATTAATTTGTGCTAAAATAACTAGAGGACTAAAACCTAATCTCACACCACAAAAGGGGGACCATGATGACCTTGAGTTACAATACAAAGGCCTTTGTGGGACCTGGGGATTACTTTTATACAGACCATGGCAACTTTGAGCAATAAATTATACATCCTGCAGTTTTCCCATCAAGGAGCAGGTTAGGAAAGAAAACCCTGCCATTAATAAGCAAAGACACGTGTGAGGATAGATACAGGATGTCCTTATGGAAGAAAACAAATCATGTACTTGAGTGTGCCACCTACAGGGCTGTACGTGAATAAAAGTGGCTGGTGCGGTGGCTCACGCCTGTAATCCCAGCATGTTGGGAGGCCAAGGTGGGCAGATCACCTGAGGTCAGGAGTTTGAGACTAGCCTGGTCAACATGGCGAAACCCCCTCTCCTAAAAATACAAAAATTAGCTAGGTGTGGGTGGTGGGCGCCTATAATCCCAGCTACTGGGATTATAGGCTGAGGCAGGAGAGTCACTTGAGCCTGGGAGACAGGTTGTAGTGAGCAGAGATCACACCATCACACTCCAGCTTGGGTGACAGAGTGAGACTCTGTCTAAAAAAAAAAAAAAAAAGTGGCTTTACATGGTTATTTGAATAATGATGACTTAAAATTTTTTACACTGAAAAAGAATTTATACCTAATGGGCATTTTCTGATTAGATATGAGTATAAAACTGAACAATTTAAAAGAGAATTCACAGGCACAGATTTCACAGATTATTTCTGTTCCCTTGGGAAAGATGGGGGGGAAGCACTATATTCCATGTCTTCTAAAGATATTTCTATAAGATAAATCAGATTGTATAAAGTGGAGAAAAATGGTTTGCATTCCAAAAAAAAAAAAAAAAATCATTCCTCTTGGACCATGACAACTTTGAACAAAACTATTCTCACAAAATTTCATTTTAATCGTCTTCTTTACAAAGCACAATACTTAAGACTTTTCTAAATACAACTTTAGAAAATGAAGCAAAAAAATAATCTCCATAGGTGCTTGGTCGAGTCCATGCTGAATGCAAAAGAATTTTTTTTTCAAAAGTGATACTTCCAAGCTTTTCAACATTCTCGATGGGTCCATTATGTAAAGAGTAAAAATTGTGGCTGTTTAGGTAGCGGCTCATCCAGTTCCTTGATGCAGAATCCTCTTGCTGGGTAGCCTGAGGAGCAGCAATGAAGCTGGACATATCAACTTCTCCTTCCAGAACTGCTTCTCCCTCTCCTTATACAAAGGAAGCCAATGGCCTGTATGAGGGGAAGACATCAGCCCTCTACATTCCATGTTGCCAGTGCCCCATGGGGGTGCTCCAACTGCTCAATTTAATCAACAATTCTACTCTCTATACACATTATATAAAACTGTATCATTAGGGATTTTCATAAGTAGATGAGAAATTTGGACGTCGAAGAATCCAATCTGCATTCTTAGATCACTAGGTGGTGAGGAATCTCTGAAATATTCAAGTTTAACACAGAAATGCTTAGAACTGTCAAGGGGTCCAGCAATGTTTTACGCTGCTCTTGGGAACTTGGCACTCCTGACCCCAAGGCTGCTGAAAAGACAATATATCTCGGGATGGGAATGGAGGGTGTGAGGTTTCCTCCCTTATACACTCCCCTTCCCTTAACTGTGCCCCCACCCAGGAAGACCAAGGTGTTAGGACTCTGTAAATACTTGGAGGGAAATAATGGCCTCAAGTAGCAAGGATGAGCACATAGGCAAGAGGAAGGCAGAGGGAGGGAGGGAGGAAGATAAAGGAAGAGATATTTATTTGTAATACTATCAATGATCAATAATGTGATTTTTTTGCATCACTTCTTCAGTATTATCAACTCTCATTCTTTGTGGCTGTGCAAATCTATTAATGTTTAGTAGTTTCACTATTAAATTCAGAAAATAGACAAAGCAGCTTTTGAGAAACACATCCAACATCTTCAGGGGCCATTAAGGGACCACCCCCTCCACCCCTACCCCTGAACAGTCTTGCAATACAGTAGGCTCCTCATTTTCAGCTAAGGATTGAGAAAACAGTTACATAGTCTAAGGCTGAACTGTTCATGTCCTACAAAGATAAAGCAGACAGGCAAACATCAGTTTCCTTGGGAAAGAAAAAACAACTCCATAAATGCAAGAAAGATCCAAAGGCTACACTTCAACAAGACCCTCCTCCCATTCTCTTGGACCTGAGGAAGGGGTTACAAGTGAGCAAGGCAAATGACATTATGTGAATACAGTTTAAACAATAACACACACGGATAACCCAGTGCAGGAAATAATACAACTTTCCCCCCCTTGTTTTCATTTGCATTTTACTTTTATTTATTTTTGCTTTAATAATGCATATTCTGTTCACGCAAAAGGTGCAAAGGACAGAAAGCAGGGGTTTAACTTGGCTGATGAAAAATCAAGCAGGGATGACATTTCTAGTTTCATGAACAACCTAAAACTAGGAGAAACTTAGAAGTCACAGCTGGTACCACAGAGCATGCCAAACTTCACAGCTGTCTCCTCTTAGGACCTTTGGCTAGGGTGAGAGAAGCTTTGAAGACAGTGGCCTCTAGTGGACTTGGATAAGTGGCAGATTTTTTTTTTTTTTTTAATTTTTATTTTTAAATTTTTTTGAATCATGGTAGCTGCATCACAAAAGCTCCAATCAAGAGGGTGGTAAAAAGAAGGCACAGATCATTGCAAATACCAGATTTTCTCTTTCTCTTTTTGTAAATATACCATCATATATAAGCTAAAATTTCTCTTAGGGTGGTGGGGCTTGCTGGCAGGGGAAGGGACAGCTTGAACCTAAAATTGAATATGTAATAGAATCCTAATGGGGGGGACAAAGAGCAAGGCAGCTCTCAGCCTGAAGCAAAAGAAAAGGACACTTGCTTCTGACTACATGTAGTACAAACACTAGGGGAGTCTGTGACAAAACACGATTAAAAAATCATAAAATTATAAAGCTTGTAAACGAATAATCTGAAATTACATTTTATTAATGGAAAATATCATCAAAATAGTACCACTATGGACTAAACTGCCTGAGTTTTCGTTTCGCATTGAGATCTCAAAGTAGAAAAGCCTTTAGCACAATTTTGCTCTGTGTAAGTCACAACAAGTGCCAGCCCCGGGACTAAACCCTGGGGAAGATTCTCCTCTTGGATGGAATTTGTGTTGTGCTATCAAGACTTTTGTGCTAATCTTTCAAACAGGGACATGTTGAGGCAAACCTTTAATCTTTTGGCACAAGATTATTTTGGCTGGGGCAGAAAATTTGAGTCTCAGACTCAGGATGAATAATGTGACATTTCATTGATCAAGTATTCATTTTGATTGTAGAGCTTTCTTTATGTCATTCACTTCCATCTAGAAAGAGAAAAATAATGGAACAAAGTCATAATGAATCGGCTGGTTTTATAGAAGCTGAAAGATTTTCAACCTGGTTGACTGAAAGAAAATAATCAAACTTACAATTTTAAAGGTGACATGACATCTACATGGACAATTAGTAGCAATGCCAGAAGTGACATCAACACAGAACAGGCACACAGACACAAGGCACTAAGAAATGGTGAACATTTTGATTCTCAGGCTGCCAGGCTGCAAAGTTTGTCAAAAGCGGCAACAATTCCAGTTTCCTAGCCAGAGGGTAGAGCAGGCGGTCCTGACAGGCTGAGCCATCTGGCAGTGTTGGAAGGCAGGCTGTGGTTGGCCCAGGGGGGTATCTGTCAGCACCCTCAAAGTGATGGGAAGCAGCTACCTATCCTTTGTTAAGCAACATGGGTCCCCATCACCACAAAGACGCCAACTGGATGAAAGCCGAAAGTCCACCTTTGGTCAGTCAGAACTCCCACAGATTCCCTGCCATTTGCTAATGATAGCGCTGAATCAGAGGCTACAAGGGACAGCGCTCTAATGCCTTGGCAGGACAGACATGCCATCAGGGAGCAAGCAAGAGCAAATGCCCCCAAACGTGGACAGCTGTGGCCCCTGGAGCCCTAGTGACCACATGACAGAAGCTAGCTGGCAACAGGGCCTCCCCGGGGTCATACCCTCTGGCAGTTACTATAATGAGGCCTCTTGGAAATGGAGGTGGGGGAGGGGCTTTTTGCAGAGGAGATATTTAAGATAAATTCCAGGCTGGGCACAGTGGCTCACGCCTATAATCCCAGCACTTTGGGAAGCTGAGGTGGGCAGATCACCTGAGGTCAGGAGATCGAGACCATCCTGGCTAACACCGTGAAACCCCATCTCTACTAAAAATAACAAAAAATTTGCTGGGCTTGGTGATGTGTGCCTGTAGTCCCAGCTACTCAGGAGGCTGAGGCAGGAGAATCGCTTGAACCCAGGAGGCAGAGGTTGCAGTGAGCCGAGATTGTGCCACTGCACTCCAAGCCATGGTGACAGAGTGAGACAGACTCTGTATCCAAAAAATATAAAATAAAAATAAAAAACAGAAAACAAAAAAAAAGAAGATAAATTCCAAATGAGAAACCCAATTTGGGGCACATTTACTAATGTTTCCCTTCCCTAAGATTTCCTGGAGGAAACGATGTGTCATAAGCCTATATGAGTCTAAGAAAATGGTCACAGGAAGTGTATCCAGATCTGTAGAGAGGTAACAGTCATTTATTTTTTAAATAAAAGCCCTGACTCTGTCCTGCCCCACTGAGCCTAGGACTCACAGGCGGCAGAACCCCAAGGGACTCACCTGCAACCGAAGCCGGATTTTCTTTTCTTCATCCAACTCAGACAATAACTGTTTAATCTCTCGTCTGTAAAGCAAAAGGCAATGAAATTAACCAAAAGCCCAGACTTCCCTCATCAAAGATCAGAAACCTCTTATTATCACTACAAAATCCATGTGACCCTTTTTCACAAAGAAAATGTTGACAAAACATCATATTTTCTTTGCATTGTTACTGCTAAAAATTTGTTTCAGACAGAGAGGCTCGCCATTATTTTGGGGCCCCTAAAATACGTAGCCAGCAACTGGTGGGTCTGGAAGTGACCTTTGAAACCTCTTAGTCCAAACTTCTCCCAAAAGGAGATGGGGAAACAGAAGCCCAGCATGGTGGCCTGACTTGCCCAATGACTAGACTTCACGAATCCAGGTTCGTATTCTGTCATCTTCCCTATAACCATTCCTTTATTACAAAATTACTGGGCTTTAAATGTACTTATTATATATATATATTTAGACAAGGTCTTGCTCTGTTGCTCAGGCTGAAGTGCAGTGACACAATCACGCCTCACTATAGCCTCAACCTCCAAAACTCAAGTGATCCTCCAGCTCAGCCTCCTGAGTAGCTAGGACTACAAGCGCACACCACCATGCCAGGCCAATTTAAAAAATTATTTTTGTAGAGATAGGGTCTCACTATGTTGCCCAGGCTGGTCTTGAACTCCTGGGCTCCAGCAATCCTCCTGCCTTGGCCTCCCAAAGTGCTAGGATTACAGGCATGAGCCACCAAGCCTGGCTCTTCTTACGATTTTTATTGCAGATGTTTTTACCACTCCATATATATTTCCTTTATTTTATTTACTTTTTTTTTTTTTTTTTGAGACAGAGTCTCACTCTGTCACCCTGGCTGGAGTGCAGTGGTGTGATCTCAGCTCACTGCAACCTTCGCCTCCTGGGTTCAAGCGATTCTCCTGCCTCAGCCTCCTGAGTAGCTAGAATTATAGGCATGTGCCACCAAGCCCAGCTAATTTTTGTATTTTTAGTAGAGATGGGGTTTTACCATGTTGGCCAGGCTGGTCCTGAACCCCCTGACCTTAGGTGATCCACCCACCTCAGCCTCTCAAAGTGCTGGGATTACAGGTGTGAACCACCACACCTGGCCTATTTCCTTTAATTTCAACAGAGTTTTGAATTGCCAAAAGGTTACTGGTGTGTTTTCATAGATTCTCACAAAATCCTACATATTAAATCCCAAAAACTTGGGGGTAAAATAATTGGAGTAATGGTATGGCAATCATGTCTCAGAGAAACTGGCATGACTTAGGATCCACAGCCTAATGCCCTTTCCAGCACAAAATAATGAAGTGCACAACACTAACCATCCCACAAAGTCAGGGCTCTATACTTAGGACACTGCAACCACTCAAACACTGGGCAGAGAGCTGTCTTCCATTTTAAGATATCGAACACTCCATTTTACACGTACATTTTTACAGACTGGATTGGAAAATCAAGAAACAAAGATGGCTGAGACACCACAGTAAAATAAGGTGGAAGTTATATTGCATTTGCTTACTTCAGATGAACACCATGATGATCCCTATATCTGGGGCAGTGTCCCAGCCCTACTGTCAACATACTGGATTTATATCACAACTGATATGAACCAGTTGTGATTCATTACAGTATTTATTTAAGCACACATTATGCACCCATATCTCAGTGGGTACTACTTAGGACTTAGGAAGAAGGTGAGATCCTAAGCAAATGGTCCAACCCCAGGAGACTGGCAGGCAAAGCCTCAAGCAGTCCAGTTGTGGGGAGTTAACTGAGGAAAGCAGTCCACAGAAAGTCACTAAGTCTTGAACTAGTGAAATGAAAATGACTGTAAGTCTATGAGGAGGAAGAAAGATGGGGGAATTGACAGAGAAAAGCCAGGGAAAAGCAGGGAGGTGAGAACCAGCATATTTGGAGATGAGGAGAGCTGGCGTGGACTTAAGTTAAAGGCTAATAGGAAAGTGAAATGAAGAGCTAACACAAGAGACTAGTGGGGACCCACTGACCCTGGGCATGAAGGTCAGACTGATGTAGGCAGTGAAAGGCAGGCCTTGGAAGAGAGGCCACCGTGGGGTGTTGATTCAAGAGATATTGGCTGGGAAAAGACAATTCCCACCAACTATTTGCAGCTTCACAGTGGGGGAGAAACAGTGTGGCAGCCCCGAAGCAGAGGCCATTTCAGACGTTCCAGGCACTTCTTACAGGGTCCAAAGGGCTAAAGTCCTGAATTCAAGCCAGTCTGATGCCATGTGGTCCTATTCAGAAGGCCAAGAACCAGTGCTCTGTGGTGTCCTGGGGCCTCTGGGATGTCCTGTCTAGGCAAGGGAAACAGGTCACTTGGACATGGATGGGGCCTTTGGGTATCCAAATGAGTAACCTCCAGAGCCAGGTAGGAGCTGAGGACTTTAAGGAGTTAGGGGTAGCCTGGCTGCCCCAGGATACCTTCTTATGTACCATCCTGCCAGTCCTGTATAATAATCTGATGGATCTCTTCCAGACTGGGGTAAGTCTAAGAGGCTACAATTCTATATGGTACCTCCCAGCCTGAGTAGAACACAACCTACTTAGAGCCACATTGCTCAAAGCGAGTTCCATGGAATCCTAGGATGCTCTAGCAAAAAAAAAAAAAAAAAAAAAAAAAAAGTTCTGTGATTAAGCAGGTGTGGGAAACCTTGCATATGCTATTCTCTCCATCCTCCCAATGCAAAGCGAAGGCTCTCAGGAGCCCTTCAGAAAAGAAATTAACTTTGTTTAACCCAGTTATCCCCCAAAAGTGACCACAAAACACATTAGGGCCCTCTAGCCCCATAGCAGGAGGCAGGTGAAAGGCCTTTGCGGGCCCCAGACTGTCAGAGGGCTTCATCACTCTAAGTCTCTGGCTGCGTCTCCTGTCATCACCCCAGACACCTCCTGATCCAAGGAGGCCAGTCACCTGGGGATGCGCTGACCTCACCAGGCTGCCCTGTGTACCCAGGAATCTACATTCTGTTCCTGCTGCAGGAGTAGTGTGCTCTTAGCAATCCTAAATCATCATTCAAAATCCTACCCGGGAAATACCTCTTTGAGATGCCTTCCCTGATTCTTTCAAGAAACAGCCAAGATCACTAAACTCTTCAAGCCTCAGTTTACTCAGAGCAGTGCCTCCCTACTTTTTTTTTTTTTTTTTTTTTTTTTTGAGATTTAAAGCAGCCTGCTGAAAGCATCAGTCCCTGCAATGGACTCATCTCTCTATACCCCATGGCCAGCCTGTGCCCTTTCTGCACACAGTAAATCCAGCAAAAACATGCAACATAATTTAAGTATAAATTAAGACTCTCGGGATCTACACACACTCCCACCATTGCTGCCACCATCACCCAGGAGGCCAGGCCCACCCTCCAAGGCAGGCTGGGATCCACGCTTTCAGAACTAGGTGCTGGCCTGACAGAGAGCAACCTGGGTGGCAGCTGCAAGAGTCCTTGGGCACTCACTTCTGCTGGTCCTTCATGTTCTCAATGATGCTCCTCAGCTCGCGGACCTGTGTCCTTAGCTCCTCCACAGCCGCCTGGCTGCCGGCCGCAGGCTCCATCTTTGGTTTTCCTTCCGTGCTGAACAGAGACGGGGAGTTGGCTCTGTGTCCAGCTGTTCCCAAAGAGGATGACAGGGGGGAGGGTGCCGCCGAGGACAAAGGGGCTGGCCCACCACCACCTGCTGCCATGGTCCCCGGCTTGGGTGGCAGGGATGCTTTGTTGTCGGACACCTGTGATGAGGGAAGGCAGGGAGGATTCAGGGCCGGGGATTTGTGTGCTGCGCGTTTGTCCTGGTTAGTCAAACTCTCCATTAACACCACTGTCCCTGCCTCTCTCCACACATTCCATTCACTTATTCCTTCATCCACAAGCCACTAAGGGCCTGCCTGGTACAGGCATTTCCCCCTCACTCACGTGCCACCTTCTATGTATTTTAAATTTGACCTTCTTTCTGGACAGCGAGTTCTTAACTGGTGTAATATACCCATCGAGATGCCCAACCACATGTGGGCAGGCACCTGATGCCAGGCACCACGAACTCTGAAGTGAACAAGACATTAAGGCATTCTCCTGGTCTCCAGGGAGCTCAGAACCCAGTGGGGCACAGACAGACAGACAGACAGACCAATGCACTGTGATGTGGGGGAAGACTGCACAGAGGGAGGCGAGCATACAGAGCCCCAGAAACACAGAAAAGGAGCCAGCCATCCGGATGGGCAGGCATCACAAGCAGGCGCTGACAGTCTCATCTTAGAGAAGGACCAAGAAGTAGCCAGAGGAAAGGAGGGACACTTAGAGAAAGAAGCTGCAGGGGGAGAGAGCATGCTAGGCAAAGGTCTAGAGACCACAGAGCAAAATGCATTGGTGGGAAGCACTGCTAGAATATCAGAGGGTGCAAGAGAGGGCCTTGGGGGTAGAGCTAAGGCTGGGAGGTACAAGCGGCTAGGTGAAAGGGCGTGAGGAGGGTACCCTGTGCTGAGGACCATGCTGGCTGCAGAAGGGCCTAAGGGTTGGCAGATCTGGAGCTGGAGAGAACTGCTGGGAGAGTCTTACACAACATAAGCTAGAAGCGGTCAGGGTTTGACCCAGGCAGTGGCTAGGAAAGACACAAGACAACTTTGAGTGACATGATGAAGGCAGGCTCAGTGGACATAGAGCATCAGGCATTGTTCCCAGTGCTGGAGGCAGGAGTGGGCCAGGAGGATGGAGTCCCTGCCCTCATATAGCAGATGGCTTGTGAGCAGGGAGATGTGATCCTGGACGGTATGCAGAGGGTGGAGGAGGAAAGACAGATCAGGGACCATGGGTGCAGATGGATGCACCAGGCATCAAAGTTGTACCTTTCATGGAAGAAAGAGCAGGTTGAAGAGCCAGATAATGATTTCCGTTTTTGAGACATTGGATTTTAGGAGCCCTTGGTGACTGGGAAAGAGGAGAGGAAGAGGGGACGAAGCAGAAGAGAGGCCTGGAGGAGATTCCAGAAGGAAGCCCCTGGAGGAGAGTCCAGAAGGAACGAAGTGGTGGCATACGTGGGTAAAGGGTGCTAAGAGGAAAACTGGGTGGGGTCCATTTGGTGGAGCCAGGGAGGCAGAAACCTGCTCATGGCAGATGAGCACCTGGATAGGAGGTGAAGGATGTGGCCTGCAAGTTTAGGACTCTCTTTCCAGAAACTTGGCAGAGGCAGGAAGACAGGAGAGAGGGAGCATGCTCATGCAGAAGCCTCAGGGGGAGGTAGAATCAGGGAAGGTTTCTGTTCACTTTCCAGGACAGGGGAGGCCCTAAGCTACAAGATATGTTGAAAGAAAGAGTCAGTGACGGCCAGGCCGAAGATGGAAGACACCAGCCGGGGAGGCCTGATGGAGAAGTGTCCTGAGGAGGCCAGGAGGGCCCAGGAAGACAGTCATGGGTGAGAGGGAAGAGGGGTGCCCAGTAGGCTCCTGGGGGAGGAGGCACCAACAAGGGAGCTGGGAGGCAGGTGGGGAGGAGGGAAAAGAGTGGGACAGGATGTTGGGAGGTGAGGGTGTGAGCGACAGAGCAGAAGTGGAGGCTGGTGGTGAAGCTTGGCAACGTGGCTGCGAGACTCCCTCCAGCAGCAGGTGCCCAGCAGGCTACCCCAGCACAGGAGCCAAAAAGGGGCTTGGCTGGCATGGCGAGGAGGCAGAGTCTGGATTCAGGCTGTGCTAGAGGGAGAGACTGGGCAGAGAAAGCCAAAAGCAGATGGGCCATCATTCCCAGCCTCTCTGCTCGCCTTTTTTCTGCCAAGTTACCATTGAGGAAAAGTGCTCTCTGCTGCCAGGGACAGCACTCTGCCAGCCCGTGCTTTATCGTTAGGAGTTAGAGTAAGAGGAAAGAGGAACTGACATTTATGGAGCGCTGATCACATGTTGGATGCCAGCTAGACAATTTGAACGACGATTGGTTCACACAAGCATTTTACCAAGCATGAAACTGGGGCTTAGAGAGGTGGCTGAGTAGTTCTCCAAGACTCAGAGGTAATAACTGGCGGAACGGGGAGTCAATTCCCTCACTGTCAACTGGATCCCTCAAGTCCAGCACTACCACTGTGGCTGCCTGAGTCTGAAGATTTATGCTCTCCTGTCCTCTCCTTTGCTTGTCTGGGCTCATGCCTTTTCCTTTTTCCCATCCTGCAGCCTTGCAGACCTCCCATACTTCTGTGACCCACCAATGCCTTTGCACTGACTGACTTCCAGACACTTCTCGAATCAATGCTTCTCTTGGCATTTCCTACATGACTTGCTCTCCCGGCCCATTTCGGCTACTGAGCAATTTTAAAGCCCTCACAGAGTATAGGCCACCACACTCCCTGATCAAATTAGTTCAAGCAGAATTTGTAAAAGCAGTGAAGGGCAGGACATGACAACTTAGGGGAAGTGAAATAGGCTAATGGGATAGAACTGTGCAAATCAGAACCGTGAAAACCCACTATTCACCAGTAGATGTCATTGTAGAGACACCCCAGGGATGTCACAATGAAACTATAGGTATACCTATGGTCACCAGAAAAAGGGTCAAATCCAATTTCTGCAGATGGAATCCTTTTATAAAGAAAGAATGTTTTGATTTTGTGAATAATTACAATTGATTTGTTGTATAGGATCACGTTTTGCTTACTGTATCACATTTTTTTTTTCTGTATCACATTTTTAAGAAAATCTACACATGTAAATTCTTACATCTATGGAGAAGGAAAATTCCATGGTAACCTTTGATTTCTTTGTGCTAATTCCTGCTTCAAGTGACTACAGTTTTCTGCTTTTAGACAGAAATAAGTTGTTAATATTCAGACAAAATAATTCCAGTCAACTGGGTTTTCTTAGTAGGAGAAAATGGAATTTTAAAATCTTGGTTCGTATTCATAGGAAGAAGAGAATTTGTACAAGATACTCCTCAAAAGTTACATGAAGTAGCTAAAAGTTAAATGTCTTCCTTGTTTCTCATAAACTAATAAAGTATCTATACTATTCCCTGGGAATGGAATGAAATTGAAATGTTTTTAGACTATAAATTTATCACAGAATATGAATCCAAATCAATTTTCTTTAAAAGACCACATTATTTATATTTACGATCTTCCAACTATAATTTGTGACCAGCTTTGAACATAAAAGACAAGATCTATGGGCAGAGGGCACGTCATTGAATAATGTCTTCTCTCTAGATACCTCAAGGCTTTTTACATTGTTCTGGTTGTGGTGATGGTGGTAGTGTGTGAAGGCATTTGTGAATGTATGTGTGATGGTATGAAGAGGAGATCAAACCATAACATGAAAACATGGGAAATAAACAACTGAACTTGTATCTCAGGGATTCTGCTTAGTTTCAGAGATGGCAGCATGCCTTGGGATTTTGATTAGTAATGGAATTGCTGTCATTGAAGAATGACAAACACCTGCACTGTCTGCATATCTTTGTTTGGTTTATAACCCATCACTAGTACATGCATGAAATGATAGGGACACCCTCTCATGGCTGGTCACTCACTTGGGATATGGTAACAGTCTTGGAAGTTTTCTTTGACGCGTCCACTCCTCTGTGCGCAAGTGAAATGTGTTCCTCCTTATCCTCTTCGGGACTTGGGGAGTCGAAGATATCAGGGCTTGAAAGGGATGACTGATAAAGCCAAAAGAAAATGCTTTTGTCAGAATTATACCTTAGCTGACACCGCTTTTGTTAATATAATGCTGTATGCTTTCCAAAGCACTTGACACTGCTATTTTGTCTTCTCACGATAACCCTGAGGCAAAAAAGTGTGCTGTTATCCATGTGTTCAAGTCACATAGCTGGTTAGTGGCAGAACTGCAACTAAGAAGCAAGGTTTCCTAAACCAGGGATCTTGCCACTGATGTCCATCACTCACTTCATCCTTGCAAGCATCCATCGTCCATCCTTTCCTGCTGCTTCCTCTAAACATTTGCTACCATGTGTCAAGCACTGAGTTTTGTGCTGCAGACTTAGTGACACGCCACACAGGATGCCTGCCCTCACAGGGCTGACAGTCCACCAAGGAAGAACACACAGGTCAATGAGAGGCTACCTCTAATCTGCCTCTCCTTCATTCCCTCCTCTTCCTTTTCCTTGATCTTTTCCAGGATTGCTAAATCTGCATGTGGAAGTGTCCTAAAGGATGTATCTGAGAGAAAACCATTTCCAGGGACAAGGGCTCACCAGGCCTGTGGTCCAGCGACCAGTGTTTCCTCAGCCTGAGGGCACAGCATTGCTTGCTAGTACAACAAGCTCATACCTCCTTTGGTACCTGCTGTTAAATCTCTGCCCTCATTACTGCTGACAGTCAACATCCATTTTGGAGTCTGTATTGCCGTAGTATATTTACAGAATGGCAGCATCTTTTAGTAAAATATAGGACAACATCCCTGTTCTTTCTGCCTCACTGTGAAGACCACTGTAAAGATAAAAAAGCCAGATAAGGCTGGATGCGGTGGCTCACGCCTGTAATCCCAACACTTTGGGAGGCTGAGGCGGGAGGATCTCTTGAGCCCAGGAATTTGAGACCAGCTGGGCAACATGGCGAAACCCCATCTCTATGAAAAATACAAAAATTAGCCAGGTACGGTGGTTTGCACCTGTAGTCCCAGCTGCTCAGGAGGCTGAGGTGGGAGATCACTTGAGCCCCAGAGGTCGAAGCTGTGGTGAGCCACGAACATCGTACCACTGCACTCCAGCCTGGGCAAAAGAGTGGAACCCTGTCTGAAAAAAAAAATTCTGGACCAATTCACTGGAAGTCACTTAGTCATAGATGATCACTGGGCTAGAATTTCCCAATTTTAGAACAAAGCAAATCAGAGTTCCTATAGCAAGGAATCCTTTATAATGAAGAATCTTCCAGAGATCTCTTTGGACAAGCTCATCTTCAGCTTCATCTTTATGCTTTCTACACTGGTGGCAGAAAAACAGTCCCATCTAAAATCACCACTTGGTATCATTATACAAAAATTATATCCCAAAATATTGTATGTTTTCTTCTGTTTACTTAAGGCAGAAACCTAATGCATTTTAGGGAATTTTTAAGCAAAGTTTTCAATTTAACAGGTTTTATTTGTTAATCTTAATCTGAAAATCCAATTACCTAGAATAAAGTTTCCCCTACCACCAAGCTTTCTAATTAATCTAGGCTTAACTGCTTAGCCACCATGCCATGCCTGGATCCCTTCTTTTTGAAACTTTATTCAAAAAGCCAGTTCCCTCCAATATGACCTAGGGTTCATGAGCTGGCAATCAAAGCTTGCTCTTTGAATCCTATAAACGTAAAGAGCTTCAACAAGGGTCAGAGGCCCCAGGCTGGGGAATCATGACTAGTGTATTTCCTCTGTCATATTCCCCAGTGGCCTTTGAGGAATACACTCAAATCCACTAAGCCTCCATTTGTCTGTGAAAAATCCACAGGTGCTAACTGGAAGAAGAGTAAATAGGAATTCAATGTACAGATCCAAGTGGGGATGAATGGGAATGAAGGGAAGAGAATATAGTACTTATACTTTAAAGCATAACTATATTCTTTTGTTTTAAGTCTGCAAATGAAGTGACTTCATATAAAATGCCAAACTTTGAATCACTGTGCGGTAAGCTTCCTGCAGGCAGTGACCATGTGCTTTTCATTTCAGTCGTATCTCTGGTACCTGGCACAGCAGTGCCGAGCACACAGGGGACAGATGTCTATAAAGATTTGTTGAATGAATGTACAACTGTGTAGTCTGACGGCAGTGAAGATGGTATGTCCTTACCACATCCTCCAAATACATACGAACTCTCAGGCATGGGATGTATGGACCAAAGGTGGGATAAGAGATGGTAATTTAAACCTGTCTGTAATTCTGGAAGTCATGAGGCTCTCTAGACCTTGAAAAGTTGGGAAGAATTTGGAAGGAAGGCAAAAATGATGAAGGATTTATAGAGAAGATGGAGGAGGTAGGATTGAAACACAAAATATAGAGATACTAAGAAGCAACTAAACAGGTCGTGGGTATAAAAGGCGTGTTGAGGTGGGGGTGTGAAGAGGTGAGAGGGAGAGGGGAAAGAAGGTGGTGTTGACAGAGAAATTTGTGTAACAATAAAAAAGTCAGCTACTTTTTAAAGTCTTTCTCCCAAAAAGGTGTCAATGCAAAGTTAGGTTTCTTTCACACTAAGAGGAAAAATAGGATGACTCAAACCATACTTCCAGACTCTAGATATGAGAGAAGAGGCTCCAAGGAAGTGACATTCTTTTTCTTCTAAATGATGACATAAAAATAGGAAGTGTCGTGGGAAACCTGCAAAAGGTTAATTAATTCCTTGGTGTATCTGGGTGGGGGTCATAAGGACTTAGACTCACCGGAACAAGGCAATGTGCTATATAGAAACAGAGAGAGAGAGAGAAAGATATTGATTATACACAAACACAACTTGTGGAAGGTGAGCTTGGAGGGGGCAGTACAGCCTGTGGCAAAAGCAAAGCATACATTTCTCTTTGACCCACTTCCAGAAAATTTTTACCCAAGTCAGTAATTTTATAGCAGCATTAAGATTTTTCTGCAGTGACATTCATTTCAGTGTTGTTTATAACGAGGAACTGGAAACAACATAAATGCCCAATAATGGTACACTGGCTAAACACTCACATACCAATAGGTTAGAAAAATGGGCAGCCATGAAATGTGATGTCAGGGAAGAATGCTGTCATGACTGGGGAGAAAGGCACACAACAGAACAGGAGAAAAGCAAGTTTCAAAACGATGCATACTATGTAATCCCATTTGTGAAGAAATAATTTTATATATACAAATAATTTTTTAAAAAAGCTAAGGGCGTATAGCAAAAAGTTAACAGTTCTTTGCACTGGGGAGCAGAATTACAGGTAACTCTTCTTTATACATTTTGTAGTTCAAATTTGGTACAATAAACATGTAACAGGCTCGCAATAAAAAGTCATTCAAAACAACCCAAACAAAAATCTTCTATGGGTTATCCTGAGTGTTCCAATCAGTCTTTCCTTCATTACCAGGGGCCTCATATGTTTGAAAACAATATCCTGAAAGTGTGCGTGGTATTCTGTGGAGGGGTACAGGCAATGGGGATTTGAGAAAGAAAGGTCTGGCCACTGCCTGGCACTATATAGGTGCAGATCTTTATTTAGTAAAGTTTTGTTTTTAGACCAAACCAGCCTCATTCTCCTTTCCCCACCATGAAACATGATCTTTGTTTCTTACCCATTTCATTTTAGTCTCAAATAAGAATCATTCTGGAAGAAAAGAACAGGAAGGTGGGAATAGGGAGTGCCTACCTTGCTGGCAGAAACACAAAGAACAAATAGAAAGAAATGGCGCTTGACTCAAGAAGACTCTGAAATCACTTTTGGTTGGCAGTGTATCTCATGGCTTCCCTCTCCTGTGGTGTCGTCAAATCGGCTGCTTCCAGAAGAGTCCTTAGCTAGAGTCTCTAATTTGTTCTGCTTTTCAGCTGTAGAGAAGTAAGGGGACATACAGTATGAGGAGACACTTACAGATGTGAGGGACTGGGATGGAGGCCGCCTCCCCGTAGCTTTTGGTCTGCTTGTGGTCGGATGACTGAGTTTCTCAGTAGATGACACCACGGAGTCAAAACCTTCTAGGTCTAAAACAAAAGTAAAACAGAGTTTTAAGAGCCAAAATAGGAGCAAAGGCTCTTATGATATGTCAGAGCACCTCTTTTCCTCAATAATAATCCTTTCTGTCTGGATTACACTTCATCTCTTACAAAGGCCATTTACATCCTTTAGTCATTCAATAAACAGGATTCAAACTGAATGGACTAATCATTTCCTTCTTAGTTTAACAAGCTATTGCATGGAAGAGAGAGAAACAGGATTTTTCTTTTCCCCTTCTACAGCTATATCCATAAATCTCTAAAAAGCTACAGAAAGAGGATTAAAGGAAGAATTCTCTTTCTTCCACAAATCCAAGTCCATTTTAGTAGACAGAACACTCTGACAGCCTTGACACAAAAGGCAGTTTATTACAAGGTACAAGAGCCAAGGGCAAGTGGATGCCGGTCACTGATTACAAAAGACAAGAAGGGCAGCCCTGTTCCTCTTTGCTTGTGACGGTCTAGAGGCGGCTATGTAGTCCCATTTGAGTTACTGAGCAATATAGGACAGTATACTGATAGTCTATGGGAAACAGATTTTTCTCTTTGGATAGAGAGAGGCAAGTGAGAAGGCCTTTTGTGTTGCTGTTCCTCTTCTTTCCTGCTTGGGATGCTACTGTGTAAGGACAGGATGTCTGGAGCTGTGGCCATTTTGTGACCATGTGGCCATCTGGTCACAGGATGGCAAGATAGAAAAATGGAAAATGCTCACCGGCTGCAGTGGCTTACGTCTGTAATCCCAACACTTTGGGAGGCCGGGGCAGGAGGATCACGAGGTCAAGAGATCGAGACCATCCTGGCCAACATGGTGAGACCCTGTCTCTGCTAAAAAATACAAAAATTAGCTGGGCATGGTGGTACACACCTGAAGTCTCAGCTACTTGGGAGGCTGAGGTGGGAGAATCGCTTGAACCTGGGAGGCAGAGGTTACAGTGAGCCAAGACTGTGCCACTGCACTCCAGCCTGGCAACAGAGCAAGACTCTAAAAA